AACGCCAGTGAAATGATTCGATTCACCGTCGCCCAAGTGTAGCCGTCCGCCGTGTTGATCTCCTGTGGGTGGTACTTCTCCTCTGTTATTTCCTGCTCCTGTGCGAGAGATAACCCTACGGGCCAGTGTCCGTCGAAGTTGAAGGCCAGGCGAGACTGTGGTGCCCCCCCCTTGCTTGGTTTGCATCTCGCTCGCCCTGCACGTGGCGCACCAATCTGCGAACTCGGAAGGGCTGGAGTTCTATCTCGCCTTGGCCAAGCGCTTCATTGCCAGGAACACGCGCTGCACCTCCTCGCTCTTGTCCCCCATGGTGGTGGGTGCCAGTGTTAAGAGGAGAGCGGCGGCGGCATGCAGATGAGGCGATCCGCATTCGTGTCCTGCTCCTGCCTCGCGAACGAGGCTCTCGTACTTGGTCGTGGCCGTCTTCGTTCCCAAATAGACAGGGTGGCCCGTCGGGCCTTTGAAGTGAACATCTGATGCTTCTCGTTCTCGCATCCTCGCTTCCAACTGCAGCATCAACTTCCTCTCCTTGCCCTCGACCCCCTTGCCTGCGCCCTTGGGCTTCTTGGACGAAGCCTGGCTCGCCTCGGCCTGCGCAATAGCCCCCAGCCACATCGGCATCAAAGTGAAAGAAGTGCTTCTCGATGCTCGGTAGTATGCGTTCGTTCGCAAGATCAGTGTCGAGCGCCTTCGGATCCTGAGCCTCAAAGGTACACGACGGGCAGGTAGTGGCGCGGTGTTCCTGCCTCTTTGGGGCCCTCGCGCTGAAATCCTGGATGCGCCCTCTGTTGGCGATGGCCGCTGAAAGGCGCCGTTGAGCTGTGGCTCGATCTGCAGAACTGCTGTTACACCAGATACAACAATTCGACAGCGCGACTACATGGGGGATGCGATCTGCGGCACATATCTGACGCAAATTTGCTTCAGTGCCCTCGCGCCCCGTCGCGCAAAATCTAACGCAAGGTGAAACCATACTCTTCCTGCGCATAAAACCTCCCCCACTGATGGGACAGAGCACCCCGGGAAATCCTCCCATGCCCTCGGGGGTGGGAAGCTGGTAGATCTCAACCTCGGTGGGGTGCCCTGGGAGCGCTACCTGACTAGATAATTCACGAGGTCTAAGTTCGGACACAGCAATTCTACAACAAAAAAAAGCCCCTGGCCTCCCCATTGAAAAGCTTCAAAAAACTGCCCTCCAGGATGGCCAGAAGCATCGGTCCCCCAGAGGCCCCCTCGAGAGCCTTGACATCATTCCAAAACTGTCGAAGCCACGCATTCGCTGTGGGCAGAAGCCTACCTTCTACATCTACTTCGTGATCTTACTTCGCACTGAGCTCGCCCAACCAGAGCGGCTATCAGTTGCTGGTGGAGCCGCTTGAGCCTTCTGATGCGGAGCTCCGTGATTAACGCCCCAAGCTTCAAGCGCCTCTGAACCTCTGGGTTGGAGGGGGCCCTGATCTGGTCCAGCTGCATCGTGGTGTGTTCCCCCCTGAGCACCACCCTCGCGAACTTGTAGACTATCTGCTGCATCGGTGCGAGCGACTGAACCGCGATAAAGGGGGCGCACGCTGAGAACGAACGCCTCTAGGCCCGACAAGGCCGCATTGATGGCGAGCCCCGAGAACACCATGCCTTTGAACACCATGGAGATCTTGGGGGTGGACCAGAACTTGCCCTTCGTGTGCCATGCAGTTCGCATGGCCTGCAGTCTAAACTTCTTCTCCGCCAAGAAACCGTTGTTGAAGTGTTGCCGATCGCCCAGGTACCTCGCACCTGCTACCACCTGTCCTTCCATGTGTTGCTTTCGTTCGTGTTATGCTTGATTTACTGCACCTGCTGTTCGGCCTGCCCCTTGGGCAAGATTAATGTGTGTTTCAATGTTCTGTGCTCCCCCTACTTCCTGCATGACATGATCGACGATTCGATTTTCCCATTTTGCTACCTCGGTGAGATGTGATATTTCCGATCCCACAATCTCGCGGGCAAACTCATCCACAAAAACTGACGTAGCCAAGTCGGTTACTGCGCGATCTTGATCAGCACGAAGTGGGCCTGGCAGCCGCACATGTAGTGCTCTCTGCCACGGATCTGTGTCCATTATATCGATCATCATCTGCGCGCCGCTGCCGTGGGCCTTGACGAGAAGCTTGGTCGCCGCGTGGTCACCAGGCAATGCGCCACTTTGATTCGTCATGTGGCTGGTGTGAACGCCATCACCCATCGTGAATGTGCTGTTGTGTATTCTTCGATAGAAGAGGTCCACCCGCGATTCCACTGCCAACTCATCAGCTGATTCTTCTGCTCGGGATGTGCGAATAGAATAGAACGAGTTGCTCGGGCCGCGGCACCTCGCAACGTGGCGCATGTCTTCCCGTCGAAGTCTGGCCGGCCCATTCATCTGCACCAACATGGCATCTTCCCTTCTTCTGCGTGATATGCCACCATGTGCCCAGCATGGAAAACGCGCCTTCGGCATCATAATTGATCGAAAGTAAGACCTGCCAAGCCCGCGGGAAATCATGATGGGCCTTTCGCCTGCCGCGTTCTCCTTGTCGTTGTGCTTGGGTAGCCTGCAGCAATGGGCCTGGTGCCAAACAGCTGGTACTCGCCCTGCTCGTCTGACAGTCCGACATAGGAGGTGCACGCATCTCTCAAAAATGGGTGCCTGCAGCTCATTCTCGACCTTGTGCTGGTGGTCTCAATGTGCTCGCTCGATATCTCTGCTGTCCTGTCTTGTGTGAGTGCGTCCTTATGCCGCGCCAGATCACCGAAAAGATCGGCAAACTCCATGTCAGCAAGCCCATCCCAATGCTGGCGTCGGTGACTGCGTGAGGCCCAGCAGTACTGAGGGGCTCTTCGGGCCCCTCCTGTAGTGAATGTCCTCGTCGAAAAACTGGTGCCTGAACGTCTTCAGCTGGACCATTTTGCTCGGGTGCCTCTTGCGCATTGGGGCCCCGAAGGCCTCGCCGGCGATGCCTCTTGTAGTACCAGTTGGGCGTGGCTAGGACGCGTGGGAGATCTCCTGCCACGCTCCACGCGGGCGCCGCTCTCCACGATGGTGGCCTCTTGAATGCCCTGCGTAACTTTTCCACATCCTGAAGTGCGTCCATGCGTGCTTCCATGTAGTCCGTGGGCTCGCCATTTTCCTCACTCGGGTCAATCCACTCTAGATGCGACTGCACCTGGTTCGGGTCGGTCTCGCCTGCGAACGGTCGCCTCCAAAACCCAGTGGCATTCCTCGGAGTTTGACATATGTGAAGAACTCTCGCGCTGGCACATCCACTTGTGCCTTGTTTCTGAAACTGGCTGATCTACTCTAATGCTGATGCCCTCGTCGCTGGGACTCGCGCGTGCATTCGTCCTCTCGGGCCACGACAGCTGCCTGCTACTAGCCTCGCTATACGATGTGCATCGTAAAACTTGCGTTCCCTCCATGCCTCCCACAACGCCTCAACACGGTTCTCTAACAACTGATTATGCATATGTTTCTTCTTCTGCTTGAGTCCCCTGCTGAGGCGTGCAATGTCCAGGCTGATGCTGTCCAGGTTGGCCTCGTCCTCTTTGTCCTGTCTACACTGTGCCAAGAGCTTCGATACTTCCCGTGAGAGTAATCAGTTATCTGCCTTCCCCGTGTAACCTGGCGCCGTGGTCAGCATTTCGTTGGCCACATCACCGACGCACTCCATCATGCCCGCATCGATCTGATCGACAGTGCCCTCATACTCCCACTGCTCGAATTGATTCTGATGCTGCGATAGTCGGTCCTCCACTCTCTTGATGAATGCTTCTCTCTGGTGGCCATATAGCAACATGGCGTTGCAGGTCTCCGCGTTCGGCTTACACACCTTCTTCACGTACTGCTGGTACTCGAAGGTGTGATAGAAGGACACCTGCACGGGGAAGTGGTCCTTGGCCGATGTGCATCTGATGTGTTGCAGCCTTTGCCCTTTCCGCCATGATACCATACATTCTTGAACGTTGTCCAGCGTTGCTCTCGGTAGAATGATGTAATCAATCCTCTTCCTGCAGTCCTCAACTATGCCAAAGTATGTGACTCTTGCCTGGAAGAAACTTTTCATCAAGATGAAGTTGTGCGCTTTCAAAACAAGCGTGATGATACCGTAGTTCATACCATCCTTGTCTGGTTCAGCTGCTCCCGCGACAGGTTGTTCAGTCGGATCCGCCGCGCACGTGGAAGTCAAGTCCGTGACTATGACGGGAATGCACCGCGAGGGCAGCTGGCATTGTGCCACCTGCCGTTGTGTGGCCGCTGCTCCTCGTCCTTTTTCCTCTCGTGGGGTAGTAGAAAAAGAATGCTGCAAAGTCCTGTCGCCCCCTCCTGTATCTGATCATGAGCCCTCGTCCCTGAAGCCTTCCTCCCGCTGCCTGCGCTCTAATTCCGTACTGTGGCTGGTAGCGTTTGATGCACACGCCGATGGATACACCACAAGACGCATTGGCACCCTTCGCATACCCTGCATGGAAAAAATGATGATGCACCGTCGCGCTTCTCGACGGTGCTCCTCGATCCCTCAGGCCCGTGCCCTGAAGTGTGACGATGACGGTCTGGCGATATTCGTCACTGATGTCATTAAGGCGGCCTGGCGGCACGGCTGTGAGGAGATTGTAGCTGATGGTCCGAAGAAGTCGCCAACCGCCGCCGCCCCCTTCTCGTGGCTCTGCCATCTTGCCTACATGAAGCTAGACGGAAGGGTCGGTTGGGTGTGGGGGGAGATCAGCTGCCGAGAGTCGCTCGATCGAAAGGGGCAGCTAAGGAGGAGGAGGAGGAGGACGAGGAGGAGGAGGAGGGGGAGGAGGAAAAGGGGGAGGGGGAGAAGGAGGAGGGGGAGGAGGAGAAGTAGGAGGAGAACGAGGAGGAGGAGGAGGAGGAGGAGAGGAGGAGGTGGAGGAGAAGGAGGAGGAGGAAGGAGGAGGCGGGGGAGGAGGGAGGAGGCGGAGGAGGAGCTCCCGGCACGGACCGCCCGTCGGGCCCCTGGGGCTCCTCGCCCAGGCAGGCGGCCACGGGCTCCGGATGCATCTGCGGGTCCGCCTCTCCACGGGGGGCGGGGGGGGGCGCGGGGCGGTGGCGCTGCCGCGGGGGCCCCTCGGGCAAGAGAGAGCCCTCCGGAGAGAGGCGCCCGCCTGCCGGGGAGGGGAACTGTTTGAAGGAGCCGTTGATAACTTATACATATATATATAGACATTCATTAATTCATTCATTCATTAATTCATTCATTCATACAGACCCTGACCAGAACTCCGAGGCGAATCCAGCAGTGGCGGCGAGGGCCTCCCATGAGGCGCAGGAAGGGGACACAGCACACAAGGGTAGCGGTAGGGGCACACCTCGCCCTCCTCCGACCTCCAACCCGGCCCGGTGGAATAATTATCGGTCGCCGGATCCCTCCCGGGGTCCAAAAGCGCAGCAGTGTTCCGAGCTGCGTCCCGCGCCTTCTCGGCCGCGGACCCCCCCCGAAAAGGCCAACGACCAGTGCCTCAAACAGTTCTCCGCTGAGCTCCCCCATCTCTCTTCCTCCCCCCCCCCCCCTCCCTCCTCCCTCCTCTGGGGAGCCCGGCTGACCACGCGCATGGAAGCGGCCCCCAAGTCCGCGAGACCAGCCGCGTGATACGAAGGTTCGCGCAGCGCGTCGTCTCGAAACCAAGATGGATTCCTGTACCGTCGACCCGTATCATAAGGACGCGCAGTAAGATTGCAAGGGAATTGGAGCGCCATGGTAACGTTTCTCGAAGATGGTAACGTTTCTCGATGGGCCGAAGGGACAAGGATGCAAGGGTACCCTTGGAAAGTGTGCCCATCCTTACTATGCGGGTTGACTGTGTGCGGGGTGCGCGAAGAAAACGCAAATCCGAGCCACCAGATTGAGAAGCAAATGAGCAATGAATCCCACCGGCCCCCTTGGCGCAGGTGGCCTAGAGCGGCTCCTCTTCCCCCTTCCCTTACTCCGCTTCGGGAAGGGGTGCCCATCGGCCGGATAAAGCAGGTCGAAACATGAAATAGGATGGCGGTGAACGTGCACTGGGTCTCCACACGCCCCCTCAGGAGGACGGAAGAGGTGAAGCCACTCGTTCATTGGAGCAGGAAGGGGCTGCAAGTGGACTGGAATATGGGAATCAAAACATACGTGGAGAAACCGAAAGGTAGTGATACCGCTACTCCCCGGACATCTCCAGGGGTGTGTTCTGACCAGGATTTCGAGGCGAATCCAGTGGTGACAACGAGAGCGTCCGAGGAGGCCGAAAAAGGAGAAAACGGGCGAAAGGTAGCGGTACCTTTTCCTCCGCGGAATACGTCCTTTCAACGACCGAGGGGTACCCTCAGCAGAATTGCCCGTCCTTAGCACAGCGGGTTGGCTGATCCCGATCCTCGTGCCCTGAGCAGGGACCGACCGTCCCCGCACTCCTGCAGGCCTACAACGGAAAGAACAAAAATAACCAGCCTCGAACGTATCCCTATCCCAAAGATCAAAAATCCAAAAGCCGACGACAATCCTACGGATGCGCCCTCAGAAATGGAGGGAATCCCCAAGATCGGCATCGAGATGAGGCGATGCCAATCATAGGGATAGGGATATGTTACAGGATGGTGAAAAAACATGATCGACCCACGAACCTGGAAAGGAATACAAAAATGCGAGACATAGCGACGTTTCAAAGAAACCTGATTGGGCGACGGGCAAACGCCATGCTGAATGTACCGATCTTGATGTACCGTGCCGAGGGCAGTGCTGTGCAGCGCTGTGCTGAACTGCGATGTGCCATGCCACGATTGTGCTCTATAGCGTTGTGGATCGAGTCCGCCTTTGCATCCGAGTCCTAACCGAACTGATCTGGATCTTAAGCTCGAGCTGCCTGAGCACAAAACCAGTAGCTGCCCCAGAGCTGATTGACAGGGGAACATGCCAGGAGGACGCGCCGCGGAACGTCCCAAGGGACGCGCCAGGCGACGTGTAAGGGGACACGCCGTGGGGACGCAACGCGGGACGTGCCAAGGGGACGCGCTACGGAACGTGCCAATGGACGTGCCACGGGACGTGCCAGGGGACGCGCCGCGCGACGTGCCAGGGGGACTCGCCACGGGACGCGCCACGAAACGTGCCAAGGAACGTGCCAAGTTGCAATCAATGCTGAGTGAATCAATCTTGATGTACGGTGCGGAGGGCTGTGCTGTGCTGCGCCGTGCTGAACTGCGATGTGCCATGCCGCGATTGTGCTCTATAATGTTGTGGATCGAGTCATCCGAGTCCTGACCGAACTGATCTGAATGTTAAGCTCGAGCTGCCCTAGCACATAGTAGCTGCCCAAGAACTAATTGACAAGGGAACATGCCAGGAGGACGCGCCGCGGAACGTCACCAGGGACGCGCCAAGCGACGTGCCAAGGGACGTGCCACGGGGACGCACCGCGAGACGTGCCGAAAGGACGCGCTACAGAACGTGCCAATGGGCGTGCCACGGGACGTGCCAAAGGACGCGCCGCGCGACGTGCCAGGGGGACTCGCCACGGGACGCGCCACGGAACGTGCCAAAAAACATGCCAAGTCGCAATGCTGAATGTATCGGTCTTGATGTACCGTGCCGAAGGCAGTGCTGTGCTGCGCCGTGCTGAACTGCGATGTGCCACGTGACGGTTGTGATCTATAGCGTTGTGGCTCGAGTCCTCCTTTGCATCCGAATCCTAACCGAACTGATCTGGATCGTAAACTCAGCTGTCTGAGCACATAGTAGCTGCCCAAGAGCACATTCAGAGGGGGGTAGGCTAGGAAGACGCGCAGCGGAAAGTTCCAGGGGACGCGCCAAGCGACGTGTCAAGGGACGTGCCATGGGGACGCACCGCGGGACGTGCCAAGGGGACGCGCTACGGAAAGTGCCACTGGACGTGCCACGGGACGTGCCAGGGGACGCTCCGCGCGACGTGCCAGGGGGACTCGCCACGCGCCACGAAACGTGCCAAGGAACGTGCCAAATTGCAATGCTGAATGAATGTATCGATCTTGACGTACCGTGCCGAGGGCTGTGCTGTGCTGCGCCGTGCTGAACTGCGATGTGTCATGCCGCGAGTGTGCTCTATAGTGTTGTGGATCGGGCCATCCGATGCATCCGAGTCCTGACCGAACTGATCGGGATGGTAAGCTCGAGCTGCCTGAGCACATAGTCCACGTAGTAGCTGCCTCAGAGCTAATTCGCAAGGAAACATGCCAGGAAGGCGCGCCGCGAAACGTTCCAAAGGAAACGCCAGGCGACGTGCCAGGGGTCGTGCCATGGGGTCACACCGCGAAGTGCCAAGAGGACGCGCTACAGAACGTGCTGGGGACAAGCGTCGTGGTGGTGGCCTGGACACGTAAAAACACGGTGCCAGCTCGGGACAAACATGTTAAATACCCTCTGGGTGGCCTGGACACGTTAAAACACGTGGTTCCAGCTCGGGACAATCATGTTAGAGATCTCCCTTGGTGGCCTGAGCATGAAAAAACACCTGGTTCCAGCTCGGGACAGCCACGTTAGATACACCCCTGCGTGACCTGGATACGCTGAATTCGCGCTCCCGCTCGAGACATCCTCGCAACGTCTTCCCTGGAGAGGCCCCCAAAGCGCAACCCCCTGTTCAGAGCAAGCAACCATCACTTTTCTGTATCGGGACATGACTTCGGGTAGCGCTTTTCGGCACCCCGTGCGTCTCATGATAATTCCGGGTTAGGCCCGACGCCATGTTAGATACCCCAACTCTGCAAAACCAGCGTTTCGCTCGAGACATCCTCGACACGTTCTGAAATACAAGCGTTTCGCTCGAGACATCCCCCAACTCTGCAAAACCAGCGGTTCGCTCGAGACATCCTCAACAAATTCTGAAACCCAACCGTCTCGCTCGAGACATCCTCAATAAAAATTCCGCCAGCCTCCTTCAAACTCGTCATTTATAGCGAAACATGATCGACCCACGAACAAGGAAAGGAATATAGAGCTGTAACGCATGGCAACGTTTTCAAAGACACTTGATTGGGTGACGGGCAAACGCAGTGCTGAATGTATCGATCTTGATGTACCCTGCCGAAAGCTGTGCTGTGCTGCACCGTGCTGAACTGCGATGTGCCATGCCGCGATTGTGCTCTATGGCGTCGTGGATCGAGTCCTCCTTTGCATCCGAGTCGTGACCGAACTGATCTGGATCTTAAGCTCGAGCTGCCTAAACACATAGTAGCTGCCCCAGAGCTAATTGACAAGGAGACATGCCAGGAGGACGCGCCGCGAAACGTCTGAAGGGACGCGCCAGGCGACGTGCCAGGGGACGTGCCATGGGGTCACACCGCGGGACGTGCCAAGGGGACGCGCTAAGGAACGTGCTGGGGACAAGCGTTTCGCTCGAGACATCCTGCCAAAATCCAAGGAGTTCCTGGACAAATAAACGAATTAGTCTAGACATACTCGAAATTCCTGCGCGCGGGACGTGGCACGCGCGAGGCATCCTCAGAATTCCTGCGCGCAGGATGTGAAAACAACCATTTCGCATGAGAGATCCTCTGAATTCTGGTACCCCACGAGGCCCCCGCTTGAGACATCCCCCAACTATGCAAAACTAGCGTTTCGCTCGAGACTCCTCAACACATTATGAAAACAAACAAGCGTTTCGCTCGAGACATCCTGCCATAATCCAAGGAGTTCCTGGAAACGTAAACGAATTAGTCGAGACGCTCTCGAAATTCATGCGCGCGGGACGCGGCACGTGCGAGACATCCTCGGAATTCCTGCGAGCGGGACGTGAAAACAAGCGTTTCGCATGCGACAGCCTCTGAATTCTGGCCCACCCCACGAGGCCCCCGCTTGAGACATCCCCGAGTTTTGCAAAACCAGCGTTTCGCTCGAGACATCCTCAACAAATTATGAAAACAAGCGTTTCGCTCGAGACATCCTTGCAAAATCCAAGGACATCCTGGAAAAATAAACGAATTAGTCGAGACGCTCTCGAAATTCCTGCGCGCGGGACGCGGCACGTGCGAGACATCCTCGGAATTCCTGCGAGCGGCATGAAAAAGAA